AAAAAAAAAAGCAGCATGAACTTGATAGCAACTCAAATTAGTTACCAGAAGGAAACGTAATTAACGGTTCTTAACTGATTCATCATGTTACTGCCTAAAGATTAAGACTTCCATGACAAACAAAAAAACAAATACCATAAAGACTTTAAGATCTGAGATAAGCAAAGGAGGGTGGTGAAGATGGATATGAGAAGCGAGGGTGGTGGTGACGAGCGATGGCGGATGGGAGATGGCGATGGTGATGACAAGCGATGGTAGCGGTCGTCTCGTCTCCTCTCTCCCTCTCTCCCTCTCTCCATCTCTCCCTCTCTCCCTCTCTCCCTCTCTCCCTCCCTCCCTCCCTCCCTCTCTCTCTCTCTCCCTCTCTCCCTCTCCCTCTCCCTCTCTCTCCCTCTCTCTCTCTCTCTCTCAGATAAAGTTTAGGCTTATCACTTTTACGTTTTATATTTAATATTTGTAATTCAAGTTTAAAAATATTATTGTTGAAATTTGTATTTAAGATTATAGGGTTTGAGATATGTAGTTAGGGTTTAGGGTTTTGGAGGGTTAGATTAATAGAAATATCATTAAATTTATAAATATAAATGATAATCTATTTTTAATATAACCTTCATGATATAAATATGAGTGAATTGGGTAGAAATCCTTAAGAAAATGAGAAATTAGGGATTTGCCATTTTTGGTGGGGAGGAGAGATAAAGGAAGAAATATGGTATGGAGTGAATTATGACATAAAGCTTATGTGTTGAGTGCAAATACTCTATAAATATATATAATTAATTTTCTATAGTTGACAAAAATACATATACTTTTCCATTAACATACAAAGTTATTACAAACTGTTTAGAACACAGACAATAGGAGAAATTGACTTGGTTAGTCCCCAAATCTGGATGGTTCTATCATCACTCTCTGAAGCCAGCATATGAATATCAGCAGGGTTCCAACTCACACAGTTCACAGCTCCTAAATGTCCACGCAACACACGACAAGGTCTCAACCCTTTTACTACGTGACAAATGTATACCTGCAACAGCAACAACATAGACACACCATCACAAACTTTCAGATCAAAAATGTTTCCTGAGAGTCAAGAAGGAGCCAAACATAGATACCTGAGAATCCTCACTCCCATTAGCGACGAAATCTTCATCTTACCCACCAAAGCAAGACCTCATTTCATGCTGCTCCTTTCCCACGCTTACAATCCACTTCCCATCACTCGTCATGGCTACATCAGAAACCTTCTATGCCCTTTGTTCTAGCTCGTGCTCTATCCCAGTCCCATGTAAACTCCACAGGTAGATCCTTATGTTTGCCATTGCACCAATGATAAACTGAACCGTCATGAAGCCATCCACAAGAAACGGAACCAACATCATCTCTTCCGTAAGTTCCAACACATTTTCCTGAACCAACAGCCAAGCCATAAGTCAAAAGCAAGAACAAACCTAGAAGTCCACCTGCAGTCTCTGAGCAGACAGGAGACAATATTTATCTGTAATAATTAAGATAAACACCAAAATTCAAACTCACCACAACACAAACATAGAGAAACAGAGGAGTCTTAGTGATACATACCTTTGATAGTTTAATCTTATGTTTTGTACAGAAACGTTGCAACTTTGCAAGCCCTGCATAATAACTTAAATTGACCATTAAGTGATCAACTTAGAGACAATAAGTGATAAAGAATTATACAGTATACGGTAACTGATTTTAGTACCAAGATCATACAATAAAAAGGTAGGAACTTTTTACCTCTCAGATCTTTGTTTATCAAAGAAGAGTAATACAGAAAATGAAGTATCTAGTAGTGGTACAACTACCACACACACACAACCAAAAGAAACATAATAAAACTTTACTCTTGTTGCATCAATATATGTACACGGTGAGCTCACTTACCAAGTGCTTGTCAATGGTTTCAAGGGCTTTCTCATAGGTCTTAAGTAGCTTTACCCTCTCCCATAAGTTACTAGGCATAGTATTCATAGACAAATAAGAAACACCTCTTTTTTGCAAACACAGAGACAAAATTCAAATTCTATTTGATCCAACAGACACGAACGTTTAACACTTTCATCACTTACAGCTCCAACCTAAACACAGAAGAAGATAAAAAGCCCTTTAATTTTACAATGAAACTAACTTTGCAGAAACCTAACATCATCTGCCACCAAAAGAATCACAAGCAATCAGATGAGAAATGCAGCAATCAGATAAGGTACTCACTAGGCTTCCTAAATCAACTATTGCTTGTTTCCATCAATCCTAATTCAATGAGGATCCATTCAGATAAAAGACCAAGTAATCGCATTTTGCCTATTGATTCTAATATCAGGGTTCTAGTTAGCTACTCTAGAATACAAGAATTAAGAACATCATATTGATGAATATCACACCTTAGCAATTCTATATTTGGGAATAATCTCTCATAACCTATTTGAACCCTAAATCTAACAATAGAACGACTCAGACATGGTTAAACAAATCATAACGACAGAATATAAAGAAAACTGCATAGATAGATAAGTAATAATGGAGTTTTCAATAACAAGCTTTGAAGAAGTCTTGAGTTTTCTCTCTAATACTTAGTGAAACATTTAGGTATGAAAACAAGAAAATAAGAAAGCACATTTTACCGCAAACAATAGGCAAAGCAACAAATACTAGGTAAAAACTCGTCAGGGTTAATCTCGTAATTTGGTGAAGTCTTGGACTTAAAGTCGGCTGAAACCAAGTCGAGTTTTTGTGTACGATGACTGTCGATCAATAGCACAAGGTGTGCATCGATCGATAAGTCACTCTGATCGTCGACCTTTGGTATGCTCGATAGTCAGCTTGGTGATTTCTCTTTTTATCTACAAAATGCTCCAAAAACATAATTTTCTTCCAAATCATTTCTGAACTTATAAGTATTATAAATAAACTCTAAAATATAATTAGTATGTATTAAAACATATATTATGGTTAAAAGTGTGGGTAAAATTCATGGCATATCATCGTATATGTAAACCTACACACTGGAATTTTAGATAGCTAGAGATATATATCTTATTAAAACAGAAACATTACAACTTATTCTAAGTGGATCTTTAAGTTGGACCGCATATTATTAATCTATATATATACATATCTTTTTGTTTATTGATTCTGGTTTTGGTTTATGTGCAAATGAACTATCATAATGATTCCTCTTTTGGAGCATATGAGTTGATCATCTTCGTTTTCTTTAGTTTTTTCATGTGAACTAAAAATTTTTCTTTCTCTTTTTTGGATGAACTAAACATTTCTATTTTCTATAATTCTCATGTAAATTCATATCTTCACATTTCATATTTATTTTCTAAGTGCTAATCATGATCATTTTAATGTCACAGACTTATTTCATTGGAATAGCTATGGAAAAAATAATCGCTAAAAGAATCCAAAATATTTGATATAAACCTTCAAACACTAGAGTGTATTGGTAAGTTTTCTACTTCTATTTTAAATTTAATAGTAGTATGGCGTAAAGAACAAATACACAAGAACCAATGTTTATTTGTTAAATATTTATATTTTTATCTAATATATATTTTACATTTAAATATCTGTTATACAACATGTCATTCAAAAAGTTGGTTCAAAATAAGCTAACGAGATATCTTCTCTCGTAATTCAATGTACTTAATATTTAATTTTTATAGTGAAATCTTCTAGGTAAGATTTTTAAGTTAGATATCACATTATTAATGTAATATTATATGTCTAATTAGTCTAATTATGATAGATAAGATATCTTGCGGGTATCTATTCTTTAGGAAGTTACTGATATTTTGGTATCTTATAATTAATAAGAACATAATTATACTTCATGTTTATGAAGTTAGTCATATATCCGCATTCAACTATTAAATAACATTTAATTTTAGATATATACCTTCTTATTCTTTAGAAAAATCCTCAGTATATGTTTTTTTAACAGAAAATCTCGGTTACAATTAAAACTTTTGATTTCTTATTAATTATAATGAAAAATTAATTTTTAACAAATAATTCTTATGTTTACTTCAAAGAAAAATTATAAATAAGAATCAAAATGATTTACTTGATACAAAACAAATATTCACTTAAAAGTAAAATACTAAAAGTGAATTAATATTTATGATATTTGGGTGTATTATTACAAATTTCCTTGATGTTTTTACAGTTAAAAATTTGTGGGTTATTCTATGAGTCGTACAAAATAATTATCAAATAAAACTAAATCAAAAAAAATATTTGATCACTTTTAAATAATTGATTCATTAAAATAAAACCGGAATATATCGAATCACCAAGTTTACCAGTTCGACCGCAAGCTCAAAACGAGATTAAAAACGATGATTTGAATGTAAAATGTTATCAATTGTCAAAATTCTTACAGATTAATAAAATATTTGTAACATTCTTAAATGCGGTGATGTTAGGAGTTTTCAAGGCTCCTTAACTAAATGATGTAGTATAAGAGATGTCGAACTAGTTTTAGGTGATCCTAAAGCAAAGGGAATGCAATACCATGCTCAATCTAAGTGCAACCAATAAGTGACATGATATTGAATAGAATAGTACTAAAATGCAGTAAAGGGATGATCTTTCTTTCTCAAAATGAAGCAAGAAGATTCATGTGACTAGAAATTTGATCTTGGATAATGTAGATCCAATCTAAAGATGGCAAGCTAGCAATCATACACTTTCCTTATGCCTAGACACAATCCTAAACAAGCTCTATCTCTAGATGGATGTTATTTTACTAAACCAACTCAAGCATCTAATCTCTTAGGTTGAATGTTACTAAACATGTAGAACAATTCTAATAGCAATCTTAACCTCTTTAGCAACTAATCTCTTAGATAAAACAAGTTAAAAGCATTGAAGAGTTGGTTCATGCATTTCATCATACACCTTGTGAGCAGGAAATGCCTAGAGATCCATTTTTAGTATGATCAAGACTAAAACGGCATTGAGAACCCTCAACAAGCAAGGAAACAAGTAAATCTAACACTAAACATTTTAGATCTTCTCTAATCATGCACCTTTAATCACCCTAGCCCATGAATCCTAAAGGAGCCTACTCCCTAATCTTCATGATTAACCTTAAACCCATGGTTGATTTAAGAGAAATCATGTTGAGAAGCAAGTTTAATAAACACAATCACAAAGAAATAAGAAGAAAAGAAACTAAAGATTCAATCTTTCTTCAAGGTTTCAATGTGTTCTTGGAGAGAAAAGAAGATATCCTCCCCAAAAGGAATTACAAGAGTATTTATATGGCCTTTGGAAGCACAAGAGTTTTCTCTACAAAATGACCAAAAAGACCTCCAAAAACACGGCCTGACGTTGCCCGCGCTGGCTTGTCCGCGGCCTGGCATTGCCCGCGTGGGTCATTCGTGTTGCTTGTCTCGTTCAGAAACGCGGCCTGACGTTGCTCGCGCTGGCTTGTCCGCGGAGTTGGTCCATCTTGAGGTTCCTCTCGGGTCAGAATCTGCAGATGGCATTGGTCCGCGGTAGCTGTCCGCTGAGTTGGTCCATCGAGCTCACTGGCCTGAATCCACGGACGGCCCTTGCCCGCGCCCGTGACCCGCGGTTAAGGCCCTCTTTTTGCATCTTTCTCTATGTTTGCTCCTCAAGTTTCCAAACTTCCACCTAAACTTTTTCGAACCTGAAATACCACACATGCACATGCTATGCACCTAAATGGACTCTAAATGTAGCTTGGATGATTGAAATGTGCATGGAATTGATGAGTAAATCATGTTAAATCTCAAGACATCAACTCCCCCAAACTTGTCTTTTACTTGTCCTCAAATAAACTTTTCAAAACACAAGGAGGAGAGATATAAAGATGCGAGCTTATAACCAAAAGATACGCTCATAGCATTCAACTTAACATCCTACAGAAACATAGAAAATAGCATGAGCACACTCTCTTAGTAAACTCTAGCTTCTCTAGGCCTATCAATACTCTTATGCCTCTACAGAAGATGCAATGCCTATCAACCAACATGCTCTTTTAACCAGCCCTCACATTGATTCACAACACACACACACAAGGTGAAATCTCACAAATGGGCACATGATCTAAATCTTTTGGTTAGATAAGCAAATGGTCTATTGTGAATGAAGAGGGAGGTTCAAATGGATCATTTTTAAAGTGGTTATCACTCAAGAACAAGGAGCTTGATCATTATACAAAATTTATCTAAGACTAGAAGCAATTCATGCATACATAGATCCATTCTCATCATTATACCCTTTTCCTAAGTGATTACAAGTTCTACCCTTTTCATCCTCATTCCCATAACCAAAATAAAACCCATTTACATCGCTCATCTAATGAACAACTCTCTTTTTCTTTTGACTCAACCAACTAGGGACTTCTTATCACTTTTACACTTCTTAGCTCTAATTCTTTTTATTTTTTTCCTTCCCCACTATCTTATTCAATCTCTTTTTTTTTTCTTTTTTTATAAGGGGGAAGGTTCCTTTAGACACAATTTAGAGTTTCTTTTCTTTGGTTCCTAGGGTTTTTCTTTTCTCATGACACTCTTTTGTTCATCTTTCTCAACTTTCTCACATCCCAAACCCAAGACATTAACATTTAGAGCACATATGTATGTACAATGCAATGCATGGGACTCAAAACCAACAAAGAAAACATGATCAAACATTTGGTACCTCCCCCAAACTTAAATCACAGTCTTTATGTGAGTAAGAGAGAAGGAGATACCGAAAACATGATAAAAGCAATGATATATACAAATAATGGTTGGAGTGATACCTCAAGTGGGAATGAGCAGTGTTGTGGCTATTGGTGTTTGGGCATGACCTTTGGGCATATTGAGGAAACCCCCAAACTTGTTCCTGACCTTATTCAACATAATAAGAGCAGAAATATGTACAAAGAAAATCATGGGACTTCCTCCCACATGACCTTGTTTTGAGTCTATAAGCTTGACTACCTTTGTTTACCCATTGAGAAGGAGGATCCTTCCCGCCTTCAAGGGTGATGATGAGGACGTGTGTAAGGATCTCTTGAAGCTTGAGTGGAACAGCTTGGAGTTGAGGAGAGATAATGGCCTTGGCACTTGATAATGGCTTGGACCGTCCCTTGCACTTGATCTTATACTCAATGGCTCCATATTTGAGCTTCAAAGGGTGGAGAGTGAGAGTGTGTGGCATCTTGGCAAGCTTTGGAGATGGAGGAGCTTTCATCTTCTTCTTGGTTTGAGTAGCCTCAGTGGCTTCACTCACCTCCTCCTTGGTAGCCTCTCCCAAGTGCTCTACATAACTCTTCTTTGAGGATTCTTCACCTAGAACTTCTTCCTCCTTAACAACCAATGCATCTGGAAAAATTGTTCCACAATAACCTCCATTCAGTATTGGTGACTTGATTTGATAGGAGACTTCCTTGTTGATATTGTGGAGGACCACCTTCTTGTTTGGGAAGTCAATGTAAGCCCCCACAGTATCAAGGAAGGGCGTGCCTAAGAGCAAGGGCATTCTCGTCTTGCTTGCCATATCAAGAACAATGAGGTCTATGGAATGGTGCAAGAGCCAATCTTCAGAGGGAAGTCCTTGATGAGACCAATATGTGTTGTTGAAGAAGAGTCTCCAAACATGAGGGAGGAGATTTTTGGCTCCATGCCTTTGATCCCTAAGCTCTTCACCATCTCTAAGGGTATCACATTCACACAAGCTCCACTATCCACAAGAGCATCATCTACTTTGAAATCACCAAGAGAGCAAGGCAATATGAACTTCCCTTGATCTTCAAGCTTGGGAAGAGATTTTGGTGGAGGTTTAGGGTCCAACAAAGAGGAAGATATGTCAAGAAGCTTTGCCACATCTTCCTTGTGAGTCAAGATGTCTTGTCATTCGGTCACAAGCTTCTTGCATGTTTGAGATCTTTGGAAGTTGGACTCCAACATCACTTAACTATTTCATAAACTTGGGGATCACCTTCTTTTGAGCTTTGGTGATGATCCTCTTTGGAAAAGGGAGCTTATCATAAGGAGATAGCTCAACCTCCTTGTCTTCTTCGAGCCCAAACTTGGATCCTTCATGTCCAACCTCTATCAACTTCTGGACAGCTTCATTACCAACAAGAACCTCAGCCTTGTGCGCAGCTTGTTTCACAACTTCTGCCTTATCATTCTGATCAACCGTGGTCTCAACTTTCTCCACAGCTTGGAGCTCACCACTGTCCACGACCTTAGTCTTAGTCTTCTCCACACTCTGAACATCAGCCTTGTCCACAATCTGTATCTCAACCTCCATAAGTTCAGATCCATACAAGAGTCTTTCAATCTCATTTATCTTTCTCACATGATCATTCTTTTCAGTCTCAGAGATAGCAGCAAAGATGACAACATTGCAAAGGTCTTTCCCTGGACGCTTAGGGGTGGAAGTCATAGAAGAAAACTAGTTCTCCAAAGCTATGATCTTGTTGTTGAGCTCATTGTAGCTTCCATTAATCTTAGAGTGGATGTTCTTGAACTCATAACACATTGTGTTTTCATTTCCATCGAAGAGTTTTTTGAACATGGAGTCCACACTTGAATCTGAAGCTGGAGCAGGAGAAGAGCTTCCTTGAGCTTGAGTAGACTGATTGTCTTGGTTTCTGAAACCAGGAGGGTAGTTCTACCTAGGCTGATAACCTCCTTGCTAGTTCTTGGGATAAGACCTCTGCTGGTAGCTGTTGTACTGGAAGTTGGGCTCTTTCTTGTACCAAGTCTCATTGTTGTTGATGAAGCACAACTCATCTTGGCCTTCCAATCCATCAACCTCGTTGATCTTAGCAGGTTCCTCTTGGTAAGGATTACCAACAAAGTGCAACTACTCTTGTTTAGTTCTATCAGAGAGAAGTATGTCCATCTTCTCCTGTAGAGACTTCAGCTCCTTTCTTGTTTGCTGATCATCAGTTATGTTGCTTCTATCATGCTCCTCACTGTAGACTGAGTCACTCTTGGCCATGTTCTCTACCAACTCCGCTGCCTCTTCTTTAGTTCTTCCCAAAAAGAAACCATTGATGGCGGTGTCAAGCATGTTCCTGCACTGTGGTAGAGCTCGTCTATAGAAGGTGCTAAGCAAGCTCTCCTTGCTGAAGCCATGATGCGGGCATTGAGACCACTAACCCTTGAATCTCTCCCATGCTTCACCAAAGCTCTCAAGATTCTTCTGTTGAAATCCAGAGATTTCATTCCTAATCTTAGTTGTCCTGGAGGTAGAGAAGAACTTGTCTAGGAATGCTCTCTTGCACTCATCCCAAGTATTGATGGAGTCACTTGGAAGAGTATTCTCCAACTAGTGTGCTTTGTCTACCAAAGAGAAAGGAAGCAGCTTGAGCTTGAAGGCATCTTCAGAAACACCATTTTTCTTGGACAAGCCACAATACTTATCAAACTTGTCCAAGTGATCAAAAGGATCTTCAGTAATAAGACCATAATACTTGTTGTTCTCTATGTTGTTGAGCAGCCCTAACTTGATCTCTAAGTTGTTGTTCTCCACAACTGGTACTCTGATTACCAACCTATGACCATGAATGTGAGGTTGATCATAGGCTCCAATGGCTCTATCTTGGCGATGTGGATGCTGTGGCCTAAGGTTTGCAGCTCCTTGAGTCACACCATCATGAGGCTGATTCTGATTGTGCTTTATTTCAAACCCCAATCTTTATATGTGACCCTGTTGCTCTTCCTCACTTCTCTTTCTTACTATTTCCCTCTCAAGTGCAGCTATATCTTCAACTCTTGAGACTAGGCTTGATGAACCTCTGCTCCTCAAGTTCCTACACCTGAAATGCAAAGGGAGAAGAAGAAGGAGAATCAGTAACAAAATAAAAGAAAATGACTTAGTCTCAAGCAAGTGACTAAATCCCAATGTCAAAATCAACTTAGAATTTGGCAACAGCGCCAATTAGATGTTAGGAGTTTTCAAGGCTCCTTAACCAAGAGATGTCAAACCAGTTCTAGGTGATCCTAAAGCAAAGGGAATGCAATACCATGCTCAATCTAAGTGCAACCAATAAGTGACATGATATTGAATAGAATAGTACTAAAATGCAGTAAAGGGATGATCTTTCTTTCTCAAAATGAAGCAAGAGGATTCATGTGACTAGAAATTTGATCTTGGATGATGTAGATCCAATCTAAAGATGGCAAGCTAGCAATCATACACTTTCCTTATGCCTAGACACAATGCTAAACAAGCTCTATCTCTAGATGGATGTTCTTTTACTAAACCAACTCAAGCATCTAATCTCTTAGGTTGAATGTTACTAAACATGTAGAACAAGTCTAATAGCAATCTTAACATCTTTAGCAACTAATCTCTTAGATAAATCAAGTTAAAAGCATTGAAGAGTTGGTTCATGCATTTCATCATACACCTTGTGGGCAGGAAATGCCTAGAGATCCATTTTTAGTATGATCAAGACTAAAATGGCATTGAGAACCCTCAACAAGCAAGGAAACAAGTAAATCTAACACTAAACATTATAGATCTTCTCTAATCACCCTTAATCATCCTAGCCCATGAATCCAAAAGGAGCCTACTCACTAATCTTCATGATTAACCTTAAACCCATGGTTGATTTAAGAGAAATCATGTTGAGAAGCAAGTTTAATAAAACAATCACAAAAAAATAAGAAGAAAAGAAACTAAAGTTTCATTCTTTCTTCAAGGTTTCAATGTGTTCTTGGAGAGAAAAGAAGATATCCTCCCCAAAAGGAATTACAAGAGTATTTATATGGCCTTTGGAAGCACAAGAGTTTTCTCTACAAAATGACCAAAAAGACCTCCAAAAATAATGAAAATTTCATGTTGGAACCACTCGGCCTCGAATCCGCGGACTGCTCAAGCCTACGGCCATAGTCTGCGGTCCGTTCCCGAGGACAGCCCTTGCCCGCGTCCGTGGTCCATCGCTCAACATCTCAGTCTCTCGGGCATGAATCCGCGGCCTGGCATTGCCCGCGTGGGTCATCTGCGTTGCTTGTCTCGTTCAGAAACGCGGCCCGACGTTGCCCGCGTTGGCTTGTCCGCGGAGTTGGTCCGTCTTGGGGTTCCTCTCGGGTCAGAATCTGCGGACGGCATTGGGGTGCGGTAGCTGTCCGCGGAGTTGGTCCATCGAGCTCACTGGCCTGAATCCACGGACAGCCCTTTCCCGCGCCCGTGACTCGCGATTAAAACCCCGTTTTGCATCCTTTTCTATGTTTTCTCCTCAAGTTTCCAAACTTCCACCTAAGCTTTTCCAAATCTGAAATACCATATATGCACATGCTATGCACCTAAATGGACTCTATATGTAGCTTGGATGATTGAAATGTGTATGGAATTGATGAGTAAATCATGTAAAATCTCAAGACATCATGCGGGTCAAAATCCTTGTAATTTAATAAAAAATAAATTTATTTATTTTATAGAAAAATTATATGTAATATACATCTATAAATATAATTATATTTTAAATATTAAAAAATGTATAATGGATTCGGATATGGATATATATACCTAAATTTCACCATCCAGATCCGTGAAATCACTATATGATCAGATCCTCGAATATTCGTTTATTTGAAATATAATATATCTAATGATCCGGATGATATCTATATAATATAATATATATATGATCCGGATGGTACATATATAATATATCTATATCATATCAAAAACAAATAACATTACATTTATGATTTGTAAAAAATAAAATCTGCGCGAGCGCAGCGATCAAAATCTACTACATAATCAATGAAGCAGTAAAAACAAACAAAACTGATATGGAAACTTAAAGTTGATATATAATTTTGGTGTTAAAGGAGAGGAAAAAAGGGGTAGTGTCATACGTTTCGTTCCTCCAATGCTAATTACCCAAATAACAAGACAGGACACACAAATTGACAATTTTTCTCGCAAACAAAAACCCTAATCTTTTCGTCCATAGTTTTCCTCTTTCAACTTCCTTCCTCTCATCGCCCTATCTCTCCGCCTTCTGTCTCGAGTGTGGGCTGAAACGAGCGATTGCATCTACAGACAAACAATCTTCTTTCCGGCTTTCTGAAACCTTTTTGGCTGATTTTAAGACTGGCACTGATAATTTAATATATGCGTAGGTGTTAGGGGGAGGGGGGGGGGGTTTCTTGTGTTTGTCATTGAACCGGCTTATAGGTGCGAATTAGGTTGCGATGCAAGTCTAGAATGTTTTTGGAAGATTAAATTTCGGATGCAAGTGTAGAAGGTTTTTTGAAAGATTGAGAAGCCGAGGGATTTGGGGAAGAAAGTGTGTTTCTTTCTTCTTCTTTTTTTTCTATCTGATGAGGCATAATGGACAAAGGTGAACCCTCTTTAGTTCCGGAATGGTTGAGAAGTTCAGCACATGCTTCTGGTGGTGGGAGTTCATATTCTTCTCACTCAGGTATGCTCCAGTCATATTATCTTATTGATAATTTGGTTTCTCTGAATTGGCTGTTTCCTAACTTCTGTATGTTCAGATTCTGCATCTTTACCACATAATAACTGGAATAGAAACACTAGGAGCAAAAGTGATGTTGATTCTATTCATTCTCCTTTTCTGGATCGATCTTCTTTTGCTAATTCGAGGAGGGGAGCTAGTAATGGGACTGCAAAGCATCCGTATAGTAGTTTCAACTTCAATAGGAGCCAAAGGGATAAGGACCAAAGCAGAGACAAGGATAGGGTAAGCTATGTGGATCCGTGGGACCTTGACACTTTTATCCCCCTCAGAAATATCTTAGCTGGTAAGGATCAGGACCAATTGCGACGATCACATTCCATGGTGACAAGGAAACAGGCCGGCCGAGGGCTTTCAGTGGGCTTGAAAAATGGTGGCAGCAGTAGTAGTAGTTTCAATGGAAATGGACTTAGCTTTCAGAGGACTGGGTTTGATAAGGATTTTCCTTCGCTTGGATCTCAATGTGGGAAAGACCTTGTTCGAGTCTCATCTTCTGGCCTAAGTTCAGCTGTTCAGAGCTTGCCAGTTGGTAACTCAGCTCTGCTTGGCGGGAAAGGTTGGACCTCAGCTCTGGCAGAGGTTCCCAATGTCATCGAGAAGGCTTGTGCTGGACCATTAACTTCTCCGAAAGCTAATGTTGTTAGCACGGTAATGTCAACTGGTCTTAACATGGCTGAAGCATTGGTGCAGGCTCCTACAAGAACTCTTACCCCTCAACTAGTATGATTTTTGTCATCGTCTTTTGGGGGGGTTAATCTACACTTACTTTTCTGTTGTCTGAGATTATAACCATTGTTTTCAGGGATCTGTGAAGCCACGAAGACACGAGGACTTGGCAATCAAGCAATCAAGGCAGTTGATACCGGTTGTGCCTTCAACACCAAAGTGCTCGGTAGCCCCTCCCCCTCTCCTAGTTAATCTTGTTAGTTTATCCTATACATCTTTTTTATACAATCAATATTTGTTTGATTTTTTTTTTGTCAGATTCTTAACTCTTCCGATAAATCCAAGACAAAGCCAGTTGTTCGGGCTGGTGAAACTTGTCTTGGTCCATCAAGAAACGCCCAACAGCAGCCCTCTGTCATAATCGGGAGTTTCCAGTCTAATCCTAGTGGTCAAATCAAACCAGAGAAGAAGCTGTTGGTTCTCAAACCTGCTAAGGAGAATGGTGTCGCTGCTGTAAAAGAATCTGGTAGTCCTAGTGGTAATGCAAACAGTAGACCTTCGTCTAACCAGTTAATGAACACCGCTCATTGTTTACAATCTGCTCCTGTGAGAAGTACAAACAGCCCAAGGGAGCACACGGGAACTACTTCCTTCACCATGACGTCTGGACAAACCATTGAAAAGAAATCTTCCTTGGCTCAAACTCAGAGCAGGAACGCATTTTTCAGTGCTTTGAAGCAGAAAACTACATCAACAGACATCCCAACCAATCCTGTTAACTCTACAACCACTTGCTTCTCTTCTTTGCCTGAGAAAAAGGTCAACAGATCAAAGGAGCTTGTAGCTAGTGACCCGTCAAGTCCACAGGTTACAAGTGGTCTCGAAGTGACTCAAAGGAATAATATTGGCTTTGAGGCAGCAGACATTCCAGATGAGGAAGAAGCCAAGTTTCTTAGATCGCTTGGCTGGGATGAAAACAATGGTGAAGAGGAAGCTCTTACAGAGGAGGAGATCAAAGCTTTTCGTGAGCAGGTAAAAAGACATAAATGACCCCTTTAACACTCTCATCATCTTATAAGATTAAAAAGTAACAATGGTTGTGTTCTTTCTTTTGTCAAACAGTACAAGACGCTGAAACCAGTCACTTCCGCATAAACTGTCCATCATACAAGAGGCAAGAGAGGATGTAGCTTAATAGTCCTGAAATGAACCTTACAAACTGAAGAAATTACTGGCTAATTTACCCTATGGATGATAGTTTCTAATTTCTTTTCCCTTTTTCGTTTAATTTTTTTTTTTTTTTTTTTGAGAAAAGCTGGCTACTACTTTTGGCAAATGGAAGAAGAGAAAATGAGGGTTTTTGTGGGTTTCGTTTGACGGTTTGCAAATATTGCAAATAAGCTTAGCATGAGCCTTGAATGCAATATGAGTGTCCTGAACTCTTCTGGCTTTGTAGATCTTTGGTCTAAAAATGGAACAGCTTTCAAACATCTTTCTCTTTCCACCTCTATGTATCAAATGTTAGACGAGAATTGGCACTCAAATGTGTGGTATTTGCGCTTCTCCTAGGAGAAGATTAGATAGATAAACGAAATTTGCTTTTCAAAATCGTGATAATCAACGAAACTGAGAATCTCTAAATCAGTTAGAATCTAACAAGGATAAAACGGAGTTTCAAGCCTTGTCCTGCTAAGGACTCCTCTGTTATTGGCAGATTCGACCTTGAATCTTGGAGAATCCTTGATTTTTTTTAATACTGGTTATTTATGATATTTACATACTATGAAAAATATTATATAGACAATATTAATACCCTTTGCACCATGGTAAAGATCGTTTATAAACATTTTCTCAAATATGTTAGTGCATAATTCACTTTTCCGGTAAATGAAACCGATACCTCTTGATGTAGAAGCATAAATGACTTTTGATCAAACCACTAGATCAATGAAACTTTCACGAGATTCCTTGTTGAGAAATGTATATGCTTAGGCCTAGGTATTCTTATCATAACTCGTGGGTTACGCCTCGTTTGATGCACCACAAGGTAGGTGATGGTCGATCGATTTGAGAAAAATAAATCGTGGATGGAGATGTGGGTTATGTCTATTTTATGAGGGGCTGGTTGATTAAATTTAATTTGCGGCTATCTACCAATCTGAAAAATTAAAAGAAAATAGTATTGATTTTTCTAAAAATAATTAAAAAGTACATAAAATTACTATTAAATTTTAAAATATAAATATATTATTTAAAATACAAAAATATATATAATGTTAAGGGTAATTCTCCTAAATAGCCTATTTTAAGTTTTCATTTCAAAAGTAGCATATCAAGTTAAAAGTCACAAAATAGTCTTCAGTTATAGGCTACAATACTTTTATACCCCTATATACCAGTAGCAAATATAATATAAAAAAGAACAAAAAAATCTTTTGTTTCTCTCTTGACATTCCCGTCGACGAACACCAACGACGACAGTAGTGTTAAAATCACGGTGAATCTACATTGACAATACTCTTAAAAATCGAAATTGAAGTTTATGCATGTGAATTTGAGGCTTTTCAATTGTTATTTGTAATTAAGAATTTTGATTCAAAATTTGGGGTTTTGCTTCGGTGATGTTGCAGGAGAACTTCAGCTGAAACGAATGGAACCTTCCTCTTATTCTTAGTGAAGCTTAACATGGCTATGAAGATGATTGGCTTTTTGTCAAGCTCTCTTCTTCACTTGTGATTACAGATTTATAAGCTTGGAGCTTCTATTGTCACAACTTCACTACCCCACATAATTCATATTTACGAAACAGGTTTTTGAATCCACAGACTCCTGCTATGGAGATAGTGAATTTAGTTGCTTTTTCTTGGAATGGTGAAACTGTTTGATTTTGATTTTCAAGAAGAATTAGTAGAACTTTTTGGAAACGCTTCCAGAAGATCTGATACCCACTATTTTGTAATGTTAATTGGCTATGAAATCTCTTCCTTGTGGATTTTTTTTATTTGGTGTGAGTGTATCATGTGTTTAAGTTTTGGTGGACTTTTGTGTTTAACTTTGAGATCACCTCTATTCTCTTCATTTTACATTGTTTCTAAGTGACGTCGAATTTTAGCTCCAATAGATTTCTATTAGTAATGTGATTAACCTTGGTTGGATTTGTACATTGATTCCTCAATTTACACTTTTGCTTTGTTCATTCTTATCAAAGATTGTTCTTATTTTTAGCTCGTAACTTTTAAGTAGGCTAGTTTTCTTGTCAAAGATTAATCTTGTTTTACTTGTTTCGTGTTGAATTTTATTATGAGATTGTTACTTGCTTTCTTGTGCTGGTATGTAACTAAGTATCTTGATTTCCAGAAGAATTTGTAAAACAAGTAAGTAGGCAGTTTCAGTGTCCCTGAGTGTGAATTTGCTTTTGACATTGTTAGTTGCTTTCTTGTACTTATGAAACTGTGTGGCTTTGTTAGTTTCAGTAAAGATTTTGTGTAGTCTCAGGAGAACTTTCCAGAAAAATCGATATTAACAAATTTGAAAAACTTTGTATTTGGTTACTTGTTTGGTGTACTAAGCATATTGATATCTTTGGTATGTTCATAAATTTGTTTTTACGTTTCTAGACAATTGCTTGTGCTTGTGAAACTGTATGGCTTTGCTTATTTCAAGAAGGATTTGTGTAATTTTGGGAAAGTTTTTCAGAAAATTCAGCATATGAGCAATGTCTTGTTTGTCTCCAGTTCTGTTGCAAAACGCCAAGCATCAGGTTCCTTTCTCATCGCAATCAGATCCTTGCAATCCGTCCCAAAGCACTGACATGACGAGTGTTGAAGCATGTTCTCCATTGTTCATCACAGTGCTTCTATTTCGAATGCAAAGTAGTTTTTTCCTTCTGAAGTTTCTCACTCCCATAAATTGAATCTTCCCAAAACTATCCATCCACACCCAACCACAACCACAAAACTGATCTGCGGAGGTCCATGAACCATCATCCACCATACAAATATTATCCAGGCTTATGATTTGTCTTTCTTCACCACTATGCTCTTGTGGAACAAAGGGGGGGGGGCAACTCATTTGCATTAAACAAGGTTTGACATTCGCTTTCCGTATAACAGACTAACTCCAAAGGATTTCTGTCAATTCTTCTGAATAATTTGTTATTTCCAACTTCTTAAGTATACCAGATTATCCAGGGATAAAGATCTATGTCTAACTCCGATTCAACAATGCTATTTTTTCTCTAGAATAGATAAAATCCATATTTGCAAAAATATTTCCTATTGGGAAAATATTAGGATTTTAAAAGATGGCATGCGTAGCTGTTTCCTCTAACTCCCTACATCATGCTGCTTTGTTTTATTTTCCTGTTGTTATTTTGCTATCTAGAGTTACGAAATTTGTTGTCTGAGTTTTTGCTCTCACATATGTTTTGACAAATTTACATAAATTATTCTTCAAATTACACAAAGTGCCTTTTATTTTAAGAGTCGGAGAGTATTTTGAGTACTTCTAACTACATATAACAAACTTTAGTCGAAGACGATTGGTCATCTACAAACAAAAGTAACGACATTCTAAACTACTTAGCTGCCATGTTCGAGAATGCGCTAGGCGCTAGTCAGACGACTCGATTGGGCCTAACGCCTAGAGAGAAAATCGAGGATTAAACGAAAATTATACGGGATAGAATTTTAAACTATTTGATATGTTATAAGATATATTAATCTTTAATTATGTATATCATTAATACCTTTTCATGTTTAGAATCTTATAAACACACAAATAGAATATACAAAGTTAATATGATATAATTTCATCAAATTATTAAATTTTAAACAACTAAATAGATAAATCAGGACCGAAGAGGATCACTTAGCAGCTATGCGGCCGATTTTTAGAACATAGCTTAGCTGTATATTTTGTTTGCAAGTGTTTCGATGTGAACATCTTGTCTACTATCTTTTTCTGAGACAGCTCCAACATCTGAATGAGTTTAGTCTTTCCAAATTTAAACTTAATAGTCTCCGTCATCAAGCTTCTTGTTTTGATTCTTACCGAACACATGATTTGAGGTTCAGTTTCTTAAATAAACAACTAAAAAATTTGGCTTGAAATTGTTGGGCACATTTAATCAAAATACCAGTAAATGTTGCCAATCTTTCACGCCAATGCAAATAGGAGACAGAGTAGAGCTCTCAATAACATTCAAACAAAGTTCAAGATTTTTATCTATCCATCCTGTGCATAAGAAGCTAGGACTTAACCCAAGCTTAGAACGACGAAGTTTAAAACAAACACACACCAATGCAATGGAGGAATCTAGCACAGAACACCAAGCTGGACCAAACAAAACACGAATTTACAAAGAAGAAGAAACGAGATACATTTGTAAGTTGTCACCACATGCATCTGCGTTGGAGTATGTGCCTGCGAGTCTGCTTACTCTGAGTGTGACGTCCAATACATTAGCCCACTGCCAAAACAATTAGTCAGCGCTCAGATACATATACCTTAGATTTGATTGAATGTCTCATTCTGTGTCTAGTTCCTCAAGGCGCTCGCCATGGTGCCTTATTAGCTTAAATATAAGGCTACTTAAGCTCTTAAAGGCAGCCCTTGTAGTTTTATGTCGAAAAACTACTTTGACCATGCCCATATAACATCTTGGAACCCTATCCCAACTACTTTCACGACCATTAGAAGATCGTTAGAGGTTTAGGATTTGTAGGATTTGGGCAACTGAACTTAGTTTTTTAGTTTTCAAGTTCTTTGTTTTGGTATTATCTATGTGTATATAGCTAACTATTCTAGTGTGCATGACTAACTCGCATAGCTGACTATATCAGTGTGTGTATAACTGTATATCTTTTTGGTATAGTTGACTATATTAGTGTTGTATACGAGTATAACTATCTTCTGTACGGAACCATAGAAATAGTTACATGTGTATAGCTAACACCTACACACACTGCTAGCCTAGGAACAACTGTCAATGCATTTCTAAGTTCCTCTATAGCTCTATATTACTAAACCACGTTTGAATGCCTCATGTCAATAAGGCAAGCGCCATGGGGCAAAGCGCATGGCTCGAACCTCGCCTCCATTTAAAGCACATGTCTCATTGCAAATTTAAATTACATAAAAGCTAAAACATATAGTGCAAAATCTACTTTAACTTGGAGAAAAACTGGGAAACACACTTTTATATAATGACGTAGTAGTATGGATTGGTCATTACCACTACAAAACTATCGAGATTGTAAGGATGATTCCTAGAGGAAAGTTGTAGTCATCTCATAAAGAGATTTGGTGAATTTTCTAAAATTGCTTAAGTTGATCTACTCAATCAAAAATAACAATAGTGGTAGGTACATTCAAACCAAAGGATAACCTTCAAGTGTTGAACGAACATGCAATGTGTAAGAAGGCATTTTTACCTTATCAGTACAAATACACATTGAAAGACACCGGCTACACCAGTCCAGGTGGAAGGCCCAGTCTTGACAACAGAATCTTGAATCAGCAAACCAACAGAAGCAGCTAGGGAAACAAACGCCACCACATACGCTATGAAAAGCCATAGCTTCAACCTGTAACAACAATCCAAATATACAAGTTGAATATCAATCATGGGAGTAAAAATCCTCCAATGAAAACTATATGCATCAGCCAAAACTCTGTTTTAAAAAGAAAGTAGCAAGCAAGATATCTCTGCCTTTTTCCCAGAAAGACAAGAAATTAACATGAATCGAAGTCAACGAAGAGAACAATCGAAAAGAAACCTCCATTCGCCTTCGTCATAAGGAGAGTAATCGATGTCTTCTTTTCTGACGCAATTGAACATCAGTGCTCCGAGAGATGCGAATATGCCTGCGTTAAACAGAAACCCTAAATTAGAATTACACAGGAAAGGGTTATTTGTGAGAGATAGATTTACCGGGAAGGTAATGGAGGAAGGGAACTTGGATGGAGCTGCACACGACGGCGTCGACCCAAAACCACCAGCCGGTGCCGAAAACAGCACCGGAGATACCCGGCCCGAAAATCGCCCACAGTTCAGCCAAGTCCATCGCTAGATGATCGGTTTGAAATTGGATCTAACACCCCCTGCCGTGAAACTTTTGTAAATCAACCTATACTCGCGGCCGTCCCCGTTAATTTACTGAAAACCAGGCCCGGTTTACATATATTATGGGCCTAGTGCAAAGCTAAGAAAGAAAAAACAAGGGCTTATCGGCGGCGAAGTAGCCATACATGCCTTATAAATTAGGAAACTAGATATGATTTTGACATAATATATTGTCAGGCTTTTTCTCTTCATTTCAACCGGTTATGCCCTTAAAAGGAAAAGGTTGTCGGTTCCTTTTATCAAGTAAATGATGTGTTCTATTTCTGTGGTATAATAACAACCACATAATTTATGTAGTGAGTGAAAGAGTATGTATTCAAGACACGCTGTAAGATATCAATTCATAATTTATGTAGTCTACATAAAATAGTATAACTATTACTGTAGCTTTAAATGAACTAATTCAATCTAATTTTTTTTTCTATTCCACATGCCGTATATGACATAGAAATTTTGACATGACATACACACATAAGAAGCATGTCCATTCCATTCAAAGCAGATGAAATGGAAACAAGACCTATGTAATTTTACATAATAAACGTGATATCAAGTTAAATGTTAAATCGGACCTAATTTTTGAATACTAAACCTTAAATTGATATTACTGAACCCAAAACTCAACCTCAACATTCCCAATACTAAATCATAAATACTAATCACTAAACCCTAAACCCAAGTATAGACTCTAAACCCAAGTATAGACTCTAAACCCAAATAGAATGAAACATAATATATAGAATAGTAAATATTCGTAAGCAAAATAGAACTCTTTATTAATCATCAAATGAAACGATACATGATAGGATCACTAAACTCAAATCTCAACCTCCACACAATAATCCTAATCACTAAACTCTAAACCCAAGTATAAACTCTAAACCCAAATATAATGGAACATAATACATAATAATGCATATACTGGTAAACAAAATAATACATTCTTTATTCTGTTCTATTCTACATGGTTCACATAGAATAGACAAACTGTTGAAGTTGGTGAAGGTATGTGATGGGGGACGACGTCACTTGCTACTATATCGTTTTATTGTTTCCAGAATTGCGAAGAAGTTAAATTTTCATGTATAAACTCCTAATAGAGAAACTCTGGAGAAACTATTCTATTTAGGTTTGAATTGTTCCATATGATTATATAGCATAACATAGCTACATAGACGTTGACGTGTGCGATTGGGCAGAGACGATGTAGTCCATGTAAATGTTCAATAATGTGGAACAGGGAACAAAATTATAGATAAAATAATATAAAATTAAATTTAGAACCTTGTTATAAAGTAATGACTCTATTTAATTTTCTCTAAACAAATTTATTTGTAACCCTTGTCCGAATGAAGACCATATTACTCAGAAGAGAAGAATACTATTGTTTAACTTTGTTTCATTATAAATTACAAATGATTTCAAATCTGAAACAATGTTTAATACATAAGAAACTTACAGATTACAAAGAATGTACTGCACAAACATTACAGAGAATGTATGACACGTTTTTTTAACAATTTCCCAAATTTTTAAGCATTCAACATCGCCAAATGATCATCCATGACAACCTAATAATAAGAAATCCAAACACACAAATTTGTTAGTAAGAATATAGAAAAGAACAGTCAAAAACAGTTTTTAGAATGCTTAAATACTAAAACGCAAGATAAACTCGTTATTAGTAAATCTAAACCCTAATCACTGATCTATAAACCCAAACTAAGTCTATATAATATCCTGCAAAATTTTAGTTCTGTAATATACATAGTATGAAATCTAAACTGTAATCACTGATCTATAAAACAGAATATAATTCATACAATCTGCTGCAAATTTATTGTTCCGTACTAAACATAGTATGAAACCTTTATAAATAGTATAAGATGAGCAATTTACTCCATTTTCATTAGTTGTTATTATGCTTAAATACTAAAACCCCCCAAAAATCTACTTAATAAATCTAAACTCTAATCACTGATCTATAAATCCAAATAGAACCTATATAATATGATGCAAATTTGTCGTTATCTATTAAATATATTGTAGAACAATAGAAAAGTCAGTTTACTCCATTTTCAATAGTTCTTATAGTGTTTAGATACTAGAACCCTAGATAATCTCATAATTAATAAATCTAAACCCTAATCACTGACTTGTTAACCCAAATATAATTCATATAATATTCTGCAAATTTCTTGTTCCGTACTAAGACATAATACTGAAGTTTTATAAATAGTATAGCATGAGCAATTTACTATATACAGAGGAATAGAAATGTCAGTTTACTCCATTTTCAATAGTTCTTATAGTGTTTAGATACTAGAACCCAAGATAATCTCATAATTACTAAATCTAAACTTTAATCACTGATTTATTAACCCAAATATAATTTATATAATTCTGCAAATTTCTTGTTCTGTACTAAGACATAGTACTGAAGTTTATAAATAGTATAGCATGAGCAATTTACTATATACAGGACGAGACAATTATGTATGCAAAAGCTATTCCACACAACAACAAATCTACACTTATATTTAATTCTATTCTACTTCACATGGAAGTGATTTACAATACACCATACTATATACATACAGAGAGCCAACTATGTAAATAAAACGATATTCCACACAATAATCACTGGAAACCCCAATCAAACTTGTAAAAAAAAACAGAATTCAAATTTAATAAAGAACAATAATATAAGAGGATATCCCAATCAAGTATAAATCTACAATTTCATTTGAAATAGAAAGCTTGAACTTGTATAAAAGTCCATGATATGTCACATGGAATAGATCGATAATATAGCATACTATATACAAAGGACGAGACAACAACGTATGTGAAAGCTATTACACACAACAACAAATCTGCACTTATATGTAATTCTATTCCACTTCACATGGAAGTGATTTACAATACATCATACTATATACATACAGCGAGACAACTATGTAAATCAAACGCTATTCCACACAATAATCGCTGGGAACTCCAATCAAACTTGTAAAAAAGACAGAATTCAAACTTAATCGGAGTATAAACGAATAGAAAAGAAAATAACAGCAGTTGAAGAGATGTGACGGTGAAGACCAGAAAATATACCGTGGGTGAAGAGATCGGAGATGAATCAAGTTTGTGAAATGGAATAGAAATGATTAGTGGGAGGTGCCACTACGGACTTAACGTCGACGACTGAGATGCGATTTCAGAAACAGAGTATAGGCGGAAGTTTAGAAGATGAAGGAGATGACAAAACTGAAGAGGACCAGGCGGAGGCGATAGGAAATTGGGCTCACTGATGGAGATCTTTTGGATTTCATCGTTGGAAGAAGATAAGTGGAAGAAAATTGTGGAGGAAGATAAGCCACAAGTTACAGTTTTCTTTTTGCCAACGTGAATTAAAAATTATGTTTATTTCTCAGGTTTACCCGGTTGAAAAGAAGGACAAAAGAGTATTAATATATTATGCTAACGTTGTGTATACATCCGTTAGGGTAATTAGCTATTTGTCATATTATGTGTTTTTGCCACATTTTGTAAATATACGGTTTTCTGAACATCCAGCTCACGTTAATTTGCAGGGAAATAAAGGTGTACAAAGATGGTGTACAACATGTAATCTCTTTAGGAATTTCTGAAACTTTTCCTCGTAATGCTGGAAATTCAGTTTTTGTTAAAATGACAGTCGACGATGGTGTAAAACGTTGACGTAGACATATCATCAAGTACCGGTTATAGATATCTTATTATACTTGGCGACGTATAACCCATATATATTTCTAATCTCCTTTGTGGCCTCATTTTTGTTCTTTGTGGCAGCACTATTAGAACATAGACCACACACCCAAAGACATGGACATGATATATATCTGACTCCAAGGAAAATGGAAATTATAATTGGGAGTACTTATGATATCCACTTGGTCTTAACTGAATCAGTGCAGCCGCATGCAATATAGCATGACCCCATACATAAATTGAGAGTTTTGTTCGCAATATCAACGGTCTTTCAATCAACTGCAGCCATTTTATCAAAGGCTCGGCCATGCCATTATGTGTATGAATATGGGGAACTGGATGCTCTACATCAACCCATTGATATAAAATAATCATTAAAGGCTTACGAAATAAATTCACCAGCATTATTAAGCCTTACTTACTTAATGACATACTTAGAGAACTGTGTTTGCAGCCTTATTTTTGGGGGTAATTAACTTTACAAAAGCCGTATTTCTTATGGTCAAAAGATAGACATTTGACCATCTACTGGATGCGTCAATCAATATCATGAAATATTTAAATGGTCCACATGGTGGGTGTATCGGCCCACATATGTCACCATGAATTATTTCCAAAAATATTGGTGATTCGTTCCCAAATTTTGTTGTTCATGGCCAAGCTATAAGTTTTCCTTGAGAACATGCATTACATGTTAAACTTACCCGTTGCAAAATGTTTCCTTTTTTCAACGGATGTACATTTGAACTCTACACTATTTTTTTCATCACGACTGAACCAAAATTTCCTAACCTCTCAGACCAGAATTTAAATGTATTAGTAAAATTCATAGGACTCAGTCATGTTTATTTTTGTATAATATAATCCATAAGATAACATTCTTAACTCTGCCAATATATGATTCATGTCTGACATAATGTAAAGATATTCCATGCCACCTTTTCAGAGTCTCAATATGATATCCAACTCTACTACGCATCCTTAAAACTTAATAAAATTTCTATGAGACTCGAAAAAGTATAATGAATTACTTACTTTAAATTTTGTCGTCCTTGGTATTGAAAAACTGACTTTTCCAGAGTTCATAAAAATCTTTGTACTACCAGATATTGTACTTATTCTTCCAGCGTAATATTTTATTGCGAGACTCTAGAAATATTTCTTATCTTTAATTATCTTGTGTGTGGGCGCACTATCTGCTAAACATACATCTCCATCATGAGTCTCAAAATCTGATATTTTCTGAGTTTAAAATATTGATAAAATGTAAAGTAGACTAATATAAAACATTGAATATTAAACATTAAACATAACATATATTTTA